TTTCAGAGTTTTCATTGAATGTTTTCCACAACAGAACGACAGTAAAAGTACCAGTAATATTTTTTAGATCTATTTATGTTTGTTTTTCATTAATTTTCCACCAAAATCAGCATCTCATTAAAACAAATCCATACTTTTTGCCATTTTTTTCTTAATTCAGAAACAAACATTTTTTTAACATGACAACAAATCTCTTCTAGGTTTTAGGCGAGAGAATAAACATCAGCTTCTGATCTCTAAAAAAAATCAGATCTAATATAATAAAAGTTTCTTAGAGTTACTTTTTGCCTCAAATGTCTGAGAATAAGTGGTGAAAGCTTCCATTTATTCTCATTATTTCTTCACTGTGCTTTAAGGGGCTCAGCGTGTACGCAGGTATCTGAAACCGCAGCACCTTGTCTGCGTTTATCATGGACCTGTCTAATTACTGGAAAACCTGCTTTTGACCTCTTCACCTCAGACTCCTCGTCGAGACATGAGAAATGACTCGGAAAAAACAAAGACTGTCGACTATCTCTGAACACGTTTCATTCACGAGTTTACAGCATTTTCTCCTACGTGCTCACTCACGCTTGTTTTGGTGGTTCGGGCGCGCTCCACACACGCTCCTGACCTGCGTTAAAGTCCCGCCTCCGTTTGATTGACAGCAATAGGCAGATTTCTCCACAGTTTTTTTTTATAAGACTGAAACTCGAAACGGGAAACTGTCAATAATGTGGGTCTTTGCGGGACATGAGTCTCAATTTGCGGGACACGTGAAAAGTAATGAAAATGCAGGAATGCCCCGCACAAAGCGGGACATTTAGTTACCCTATCCCACACACAAAAACGCACAGATCTGTTCGTAAGTACGGTTGATGAATGAGGACCCAGCTCGTTCAACGGAATATTTTTTGCAGCAAAGATCCATCCTTTTCAGAACCAAACAACTTTCTTTAACCTGCAAAGCTGCACCAGATGCAAAACGACCCACCAGCTTCCGCCAGTGCGTATTCAGATGACCTACGACCTTTGGACACATCAGAAGTCTAATCATTCGCTTTGTCAAGATGGCTTTGCTTGCTGGCCGGATCTCCCAAGAACTCCCACCACACTGGTAACGGCTCTTCACAATGGCATTGGATGGGTTATGGTTCATTTGATAACTAATTAAATAGATTGTGTTATAAACCCAGACATCACATTTTTTCTGACACGTAATTAGACTTTTAATAACAGATCATGTTTCAATTACGTTTGGTTATGGTCTCAGTTAATATTACCTTAAATAATCATTTAAAATAATTTATCCTGTATGATCATTAGTAGTAGAAATATAGTAATGAATAGATTTTTATACACTATCTTTTAGCCTCTGTGCCAAATAATTATAAATGTTGGTTTCCTGGCACACTAAAATTACCCATCAGAGGCTTTACAAATCCAGTGGGTGTCCTTACTGACTTTGTCCACCTGGAAGAGGCAACGAGCACACTCCCTGAAGCAGAAAGTCTTCCCTGCCTGCACCTAGCAACTATTTACGCATGATTTTGTGATTCTGTCTGTCTGCTTTTCTGTCTATCTAATCACAGTTGAGAGCTATTAACCCTGGAGGAGGCACAGAAATTTCTGTATGAATACTCTGAGGTTTTTAAGGAGGAAATCGCTAAATTGATAGATTAATTAAATTTTCTGAAAACTGATCATGCCCAATATGTGGTGAAGATTAACAATCAGGAGAAGGACATTCTTGAGTTGACATGACAACTGAAGGAAGCTGAACAGCAGGTCACTTCTGCTCCGGCGCCCCAGCCACAGTTTGACCAAGCTGGAACCAGTCATGGGGGGGGGCAGTCATGCAGGCCTCCCCTCCAGCTGTGTCATCTGTTTTTCACACCAGCCTTCTTGTTTCGGCCATCACGACTGCCAGTGTTTACAGAATGGCCAGAAACATCACCAGATTTGAGCCTCATCCGGGGGATTCACATAGTTTGTTTGAACTTAGCTAACATCTGGACGGACAACTTTGAGCTACAGTCCAGAATAATGTAGTGTTAAGGATTAGCTACACATACATATTAAATGATCAATACGATGTGATGTTCCTTATAAATATGAAATATCCATCTGATTGGTCTTTGAATGTTTAATCAGACGACTTTAGGCTCTTTGACTCTTCAGGGAACACACACTTCATAAGGATATAGTTTATAAGAATAATCTTTAATTCTATTTTCTAAACTAAATGATGGTACATGACAAACTGTGAATGAAATGATGGTTGCACAGATAACAGATGATGAATGGAATGATGGAATTTGAGCTAGATGTTCTAGCAAAACCTTTCTCAAGTATCTGAGAGAGCTTGTGGTTTCTGGGTTGTAAAATAATTTTGGCTGTATGGTTTGGTAAGCTAAAGTTTGTTTATAAAACCATCCGATGCTATTTGTGCTGATCTATGCACCCTTGTGTGAAGATCCCCATGCGATCCAGGGGATCAGGAGGTCCAGATGGACACTGCCAGTGGACCTCTGGTACCGGAGGTCGTAGCCAGCTCAGAGTACGACCCGTCTAGACTGGGTTATCTTCAGGTGACTGCAGGAAGCTGGAGTCTCTATACAAGCATAAATAGAAAGAGTTACCCCTAACTTGCATAACCCGATTTAAATGCGGACGTTGGGGTAGCGTCAGGATGTATGGACTACGTCCAGACGCAATATGCGTCATTTCCGGTTCTTCTTGTTCCGGTATCCGTGAAAACAACAACATGTTTCCCAGTTCGGAAGAGATAGCGACCGCGTTTGTTTGCGCTTTAGTTTCCTCGCCACTCCAAAAGTGTGGTGCTGTGCCGCGACTCGCCATTTTGCTCCCAACTTGTTGTTTACTTCTGGTGTTCTGGTGCGTACAAGACGTCTCGCTACTCAAAAGACCAAGATTCCTTGCGAACAGAGCATGCGCAGAACACACGCTTTGATGGGGATATCCCGGTATGCGTTTACACGACCAAACATTCGGGTTAGAAAAGGGTTACCCCAGGTGTAGTAACCGGGTTTTTAAAAACCCAGTTATGAGCATATCCGGGTTTTTGGCGGTGTTTACATGGACCTGCGGAACCGGGTTAATGTGAATATTCGCGTTTTAAAAGGGTTACTGGCTGCATGTAAACGCACTGAATGAGACACAGACAGGGTTATATACACAAAGGGAACACGGAGGGAAACAATCAGGGAAGCAGGTGACAGGTGTGTGGGGAGTGAGATCAGAAGGGATCAGGTGAGACGAATTAACTGAGTGGGGAAACTGACTAGGTAAACTTCATCTACAGAGAACTAAAGAGAAGTGAACTAATAAACCTGAAAACTAGACATCAGAAGAAAAACATTAACAAGGATGGGATAACTAAATCTGAAATCACAAAGGGGGAACCTGAGGGAAACCTGGAGGGAGCTGAAGACCTAAGGGGTACAGAAACCTAAGGGGAAAACCTGGAGTGGGCTGGTGAACACAAGGAGGCACCTGGGGGGGGCACAGACAAGGAGACACATGAGGAACCCAAGGAGACATAAAGGGGACCCTAGAGAGGGCAGGAGAACACTATAGCCCCCTTCAGACAGGCCATGAAAAACAGAAATGTTCTGGACTCTGTCCGTAAGACCTTTGTGTCTGAATACAAACATCCGGATAACGTTTTCCGTAATTAAACCGGACGAAGCCCCTAGTAACAGGTCCGGACTTGTTACGGACAAGGTGGCTGCTTCAGACTGGTGAGGTCGAGTTCCGGACAGGGAGGAGGGGACCGGGGGACGCTGTGCGCACCTAGATAGCCCGCTGCTGTAGCATGCGGCGAACCTCGGCAGCTCGCCTCCTACGGTACCGTCTAGACGCGCGACTGAGTGCTTCACACCGCTTCCGTGATTCCTTTAACCATTGAGCTTCATCATCCAGGTCTCTTATGCGTCTTCGTGTGCGCAGAATTATGCTTAACATGAGTCCGATCCCCCCCACCCCCGTCAGACATCTGGAACTTTTCCCAGCTGTGTGAAGGCAACCAAAAGGACAAATTCCGGTACAAAGGTGGCGTGTCTGAAAACACAGTTCCGGTTAAAAACCGGATTAAATTGTCCACACATATTCCAGAATGTCTATCTGGAAAGGGTTAAGGAGACATATGAGGGGGACGCAGGACACAGAACATCCCACTGCAATATACCATCATCTGAGTAAGGAAAATAATTGCAAAATCAATACTGAGTATTTTCCAAACATATAAACTCAGTTAGGAGGAAAACTCCAAGACAATGAAACTGATGTCTAGCTGTTTTCTATTTGTAGCATTTACACAAGGAGGTCCGTTACTGAGTAAATATCAAGGAAAATGTCTTTCATGTATAACATTATATATAAACTTTAACCTAAAAAAATGAGGACAAGAGAGAGATGGTGTGGATGGGACAGAGGTGGGTCATGGGGCTGAGCTCATTTGTATTATCGCCGTACTACAGCCCGCACAGAGGCTCTCTTTAGTTCCGTTTACATTTTGGTCGCAGTTATTTATTCATCTCCAGTTCGACTCCTCGCGGCCTGCATGGGGGCTCGACTAGAGGCTTGTGGTTCCTCAGCTGTAGCAACACCTGGGCTTGTCTTTGCGACTGATCGCTTGACATTCACGTGACCGAATGCAGCGTCCAAAGGGAGCTTTAGCATGCACGTACCTGCACGCAACACGCACACATGCACAGCACATCATACACATCTGCATTGGTGCGTGTGGGACCACGCAGATTCAGTGCAGATATAACTGTCAACCCTGTTAATATCGAGCTCTAGGCTGACCGGAGAGGACGCCGCACACCTGAACCTTTCTTATGTGATTAAAATTAATGTTGCTGTCTGATGATAATTAAGGCTAAGAAGTTGCGCATCAATAACTGATGATGCGTTTTGCACACGTAAAACAAGCAACTCTGCAGAAAACAGATAAACGCCCGTTTCATGCCTCATTTCGAGTCATACCGTCTTACCTGTAGCAAAATGGGAGCTGAAGGCGAAACTGGGGTTGAAAAACGCAGAAGACATGATCACATGAAGGACACAGAGCATCATCCTCCTGTCTCTCTTTCTATTTGGGCGGCAGAAGAAGTCTGCAAACAGACGGAGGAATGTTGGAAATAGAGAATAAATCCAGATTTAGGTGCTGCTCGAATTCAGTTGACCTGTAAGAAGAAAAAAAACAGAATGCGCATTTTCTTCATTCATCACACCTCAGAGCCCTGCAAGAATCTTGCTTCACCTTCAGCTCGGGCAGATATGCAGATAGATGTTGACTGGTGTTGCCATTTCTTTTATAATTTATCATTTAACACGCCTGTACTTGACCATGCGGTCACGCGCCCGCTCAGTCACCAGGTAAAATAACCCCCGACGCATTTTTATTGACTTAAATCTTGAATCTTCCTAACATTTCGTCACATCCTTTCTGTGTTACTTTCAGAATAAATCTATGTGGTGCTGGTTTTACGAGCTCAGTGCTGCGTGTCGCTTCATCAGCCAACCCCAAAAACCGGGCTCTCTTTGAAAATCCAGTTTTACCCCACAGTGCCACCCATGAACGTGGCTCGCCCCATGGGCATTGCATCCGTGGGGGTGTGGACACCCACACCTTCCCCGCAGTTGAGCTCAAAAAACGGCACTATCCGTCCCTCCGCCTTTCTCTCACTGTGACTGCCCTCTCCCCCTCCCTCTCCTGGGGCTTCATTTACGCACAGATCTGTGCGTAGGAACAAATCTACGCATTGTGTGGTATTCATCATTTTTTACCTGTGCGTTGAAACGTTCCTAAACATAAGAAACCTGCAGACCAGGCGTAGGAACAGCATCTAGTGGTACAAAGGGAGAACAACAGCACAGAGAAGAAAGAAAGAAAGAAAGAAAGAAAGAAAGAAAGAAAGAAAGAAAGAAAGAAAGAAAGAAAGAAAGAAAGAAAGAAAGACTTTTTTAGACTTTTAAATTATTTATTTTTCTTTACAAATCAACAATCAGCGTTAATGACTGAAACTTGTTTTCCACTAATAAAACCAGGAAACCTGCTAAACCCAGTTTAGAAGTTGATCTTTAGGGATTCCTGTCCATCCAGCAGACAGAGCACCTGTCCGATCCCCCACACCGCTCTAAACGAGTCCAGGCTCCCAGTAAGTTCGTAAAAAGCGTGTTCGATCTTTAAGCGAGCTTCCACCAGGCCCTACAGACTCCGCTCAGCGTCAGTCCAGCTCTGTCCCAGCATCTGGTTTTTTCTGGTTTTCCAGATGGCTAGTTTTGCACATGCAAATAAAAAGTTAATTAACAGTATTGTCCGTTTTTTTCTGACACTGTACTTGGGCCCGAAAACGAATAAGTGTAGGGTAAAAGCCTCCCCTAGTGCACTAACCCACCGTTCTAAAACCTTAAACATCCCTGATAACCTAGAACATGCTACCACTAGATGCTCTATGGTCTCTGTTTGGTTACAGAAAGGACATCCCTCCCCGGTGCTTGGATCAAAGCGGGCTCTGTGTCTGTTCGTAGCTAAAGCTCCATGTATGATCCTCCACTGGAGGTCTGCCATGCTTTTATCCACTGGAGACTTATACAAACTCCTCCAGCTGCCCTCAAGGGCATCGTCCGCAGCAAACACCTGAGTCCACCTCGACTCCTTGACTCCTAACAAGGAGCGCCTATTGATAACCTTCACACAAGTTTGATAGAGCTGTTTCTTCCCACAAGACTGGAAGGAGCCCAACACTGGAGTGTTCAGGTTCAGCAGTGATCCACTCTCCTCCTGCCAACCCTCACCAGCGGCTTTAACCTCCAGAGACAGAAAAACATACTCACTGTCATCATCCCATTGGTCAGATAGAGTACAAGTCTCAATGAAGGCTCTCTGCGACACAGACAAGGACCTCCGTACCTCCTCCACCACTCTCTCCATCACTCTGGTGGACCTTACATCCAACCGCTCGCCAAGGATTCCAGCCAGGATCTTCAGTAAATGACCAAACTTTACAATCCCAGCATCGGTGAACTTCACTTTCAACGCAGATGAAGTTAAAGTGCTAGCTCGAGAGAAGAAGTCATTGTCAAACAAGGGTTCTTGTAGCAACCATGTCCCTGGTCCCGTGTCAGACGTTCTGGATACTGTCAGCAGCTTAAACGAGTCCAGCACTGACGCGTAGAACGGACTAATCCTTGTCAGATCCAACACCTTCCGATTCAACAGGAACAGGTGTTTGTTTAGCCCAAGCCCACCAACCTTCTGCAGCAGGAGATGAGCCAGGGGCAGCCAGCAGTCCGTCACCATAAAAAAGCTTCTGAGCTGTCTGTAACCTGAAGGCTGCAGTTCTAGACACCACGTCTATTAGTCCTTGTCCTCCCTCCGACACGGGTAGGCAAAGAGCCGAGGCTCTGATCCAGTGGTGACCGGACCAGAAGAATTTCACCAACAGCTTCTGAACACCTTCCAGCAGACCCAGTGGTGGAACCAGTACAATCAGTCTGTGCCACAGAAACGAGGCGACCAGGTTGTTTGCTATCAGAACCCTGCCCCTGTAGGACAGCTGAGGGAGAAGCCATTTCCATTTAGACAACCGCGCCTCCACCTTCTCCAGCACCTTCTCCCAGTTCTGTTTCTGAAACCTTTCACTACCCAAGTACAGGCCTAGTGTTTTAATACCTCCCGTTCCCCACCTCAGCCCTTCTGGCAGAGGCAGGACATTACCAAGGTCCCACCCCCCCACTACACATGCCTCACTCTTGTCCCAGTTAAGCTTAGCTGAGGATGCATCCTCATATAAAAGTAAACTAGATCTGAGTTCTTGTACATCCTGCTGATCATGGATAAAAGCATTCACATCATCTGCATAAGCCGACACAACTAAGGGAAGACTAGAGACAGGTAAAGGTAGATGTAGACCTTTCAGCCTGTTCCTCAGCCGACACCGCAGCGGTTCAATAGCTAAAATATACAGTTGTCCTGAGATGGGACAACCCTGTCTGATTCCTCCTAAAACTGGTATGGGTGTACTCAGGCCCCCCGCTACCTTCACCATACAGCTGACATTCCTATACAACATCTTAATCCCTTCCAGAAAGGACCCCCCAAAACCAAAAGCCTGTAGCGTAGAGAACAGGAACTCATGATCAACCCTATCAAACGCCTTTTCCTGATCAATAGAAATGATACCTGCGTTTACATCATAAAGGTTACAAACATCAAACACATCCCTCATTAAAAATAAATTGTCCATTAGTGACTTTCCTGGTATACAGAAGGACTGATCATCTGGGATTAGACCTCCGATGAATCCCCAAAGTCTGTTTGATAGGAACTTTGAAAAAATCTTATAGTCTGAACACAACAAGGAAACTGGTCTCCAGTTTTTTAGTTGGGTTAAGTCCCCTTTTTTTGGCAGCAGTGACAGAACTCCCCGCCTACACGATGCAGGAAGTGCTCCTGTCAGAAGCGAGTCTTTAAAAACATCCATCAGGTCCTGTCCCATACTGCTCCAGAAGAATTTGTAGAAGTCAGCAGGTAAGCCATCTATCCCCGGAGATTTCCCTGCAGCCATCTGGGAGACTGCCGTTGTTAGCTCCTCCATGGTTATGTCTGCATTTAAGATTTCCTGGTCTGCTGTGGTCAAGGAAGGAAGCCCCTACATCAGCTCTCTGGCACAGTTCACATCACATGGGGCGGCCTTTAATAGGCTGGTATAGAATCCTACTGCATGTTTCCTCATCTCCACTGGATCAGTGGATAACTGTCCATCTGGCAGACGAAGGCCAACCATTTGTTTTTTCTGGTTTGAAGTCTTTTCCAGGTTAAAAAAGAAGGATGTTGGAGCATCCATGTCCTGTATTGTGGTGAGACGAGCCTGGATCAAGGCCCGTAAGAAAGAAAGAAAGAAAGAAAGAAAGAAAGAAAGAAAGAAAGAAAGAAAGAAAGAAAGAAAGAAAGAAAGAAAGAAAGAAAGAAAGAAAGAAAGAAAGAAAGAAAGAAAGAAAGAAAGAAAGAAAGAAAGAAAGAAAGAAAGAAAGAAAGAAAGAAAGAAAGAAAGAACAATTTTATATAGCGCCAAGATAAAAATCAGAGGCACTTCACAAACCCCAAAAAATAACAAGTTAAGAATAAAAAAGATTTAAAAAAATTATTTAAAATATGTTTTAAATGAGAAAAAAATGTAAGGAAAGGGAGAGATAAATGAATAGGAAAGAGGGAAATCAGTGGATCCCGAGAAAGGCGGAATAAGAGCAGAATAAGGAGAGCGTGGTGACGAAGGAAAAGCCAGCTTGAACACGGGAGTTCTCCCCTGCTTTTTGAAAGAGACCACTGAGTCTCAAAATCATCTGTCACCTTTGACTGAAGGTCTCAGTCATCCACACATATTCCTCATCCACAAATCATTTTACCCAATAACTAAAAATTTCGGTGAAAAAAACAGCTGTGTCACATAATTGGTGCTACAACACCCGACTGGAACCTGACATTGTAGAATGTTTTTGTAAACACAATTTTTACTCTTCCTATTTTTATGATGTTCTTAATTGTTTTTAATTAATTTCTATTATTTTTAAACAAAAATGTAATATTATATTTTTGTCCTTGTGAAACGCCTCATGATTTTGCTTGAGATGTGCTAAAAAGATTGTTTATTATTATTATCAGGGATATTTATTATGCATATTGGGGATTTGACTAAGCGTGCTCTCTGGTTAATGCGTTTCCGTGAGCACACTGACATGAGATCCATCTGGTTTATGCTGGGTTTTGGGACCCTTTGTGGAGCGACATATTAACTGCACAAATCCAAGTCATGTCCATGTTATATTTTAAATCGCAACTATGAGAACCCCCAACCTCCTCTGCTCCTCGATCAAACACGCAGTCAAGGTAACCAGACTGAAGTTCAGAAGAGGCTGCACTCTCAGACGTTTCCAAATAAAACTAACTCCAAACAGAATGACTCCTTAAATGAAAATGGAAATGAGAACCTGTTACTCTACGATGTATCAGGTTAAGTTTTTATTTATTCCTGAAGGGAACCTCTCCTCTGTCTCGACCACGTCACCTAACTTGTTTGGTTCTTTTGTGCTTCAGCAACCCGATCTCGCAACAAAAAATCTTTTTACGAACGGTCAAAATCCTGATTTATGGTAAATTAAATGTATTTGTATAGCGCCTTCTTGGGGTTCTACAACCCCCCAAGGCGCTTTACAACACAACCAGTCATTCACCCATTCACAGACACATGCATTCACATGCTGATGGGGATGAGCTACGTAGCTACATGCAGCTGCCGCGGGGCGCACTGACAGAGGCAAGGCTGCCGGGCACTGGCGCCACCAGTCCACCCGCTAGGATGCTCCAGCGGTGCCAGTAATGAGAGACTGCAGCATATGTACCCAGTAGGGCTAAAGGACTGGGAAAGGCTTAGTACTCAAGGATATGTGGTTGTGTGTGAGTGTGCAGAAGCATGTGTGAAGGATAACACAAATTGAATATTCTTTTGTAATTTAATTGTTTTAGGGACCTTAGTTTGTTATTCTTTTGTTACAGACTGAGGGGTACAGGTGGTGGCTGGAAGGTCTCATGGTGGCAGTTCATCTGTGTGTGTGCTGTGTGTCCAAGGGTTCCTTCACTCCTGAATGCATGGGTACAAGTGTTTGGGGTGCCATTTGGGGGGGCAGGACAACACAGCACAAAGCCAGGAACATCCAGTCGCTTGAGCCTGCTCCTCCTGAATGTAAGGTTCGACTATCTGATGGACCCTTCTTTTTAGAATCCCTGAATTGACTTTTCCAGGGAGGCTCAGGGGTGTGATTTCCCAGTAATTGGAACACATTCCTTTTTAAACAGGGAGACCACCATCCTGGTCTGCCAATCCTGTGGAACTTTCTTGATGTCCACGCAAATTTGCAGAGCTGCGTCAGCATCCATCTCCGAAACATCCAGACCCTTGCCACCAAGGAGTTTTTTGACCACTTCAATTACCTCTGCACCAGAGATTGGAGAGCCCAACTCAAAGTACCTAGAATCTGCTACCTTACTGGATGATGTGCTACGTAGCGGTTTTAGGCATGGGCAGACAGGGCAGTTGCCCAGGGCGGCATTTTTTCATGACACGAAAGGGGCGCACAAGCGCTGAGTAAAAAATAAAAAAGAAATCAATCTGCGGCGCACCGAGGTTTTCTATCTGTCATATCACAGTCTGGATTGGAACCAGCAAGTTGGCCCCCTGCAGCTGCAGATGCCTCTGCTGACTGAGAGGGTTCAGGTCAAGCCGCTATAATTCGGGTCTGAAATTGAAGCCAGCATGGAAGTGACAAAAATTGCAGTTCCACCCTCATCCACTAGGGGCTGGTGTCAGAAGCGAGCAAATCCTCATTGACTCCCATGTTAAAAATACCTATTTCACTGCAGAAATAAACATGTTTACAGCCTGGTACCAAAACATGTTTTAGGTTTAATAGATCTAGTTTACAACGATGACAACTCTGAGGGGGGTGAATTTTTTTTTATCACTCTTCTGTTTAAGTGTATTAAATGCCTAAAACTCTGAATAATTAATGAGCATCAGACCCACGTGACCACAGAGCTAGCTCCGGGGAAAGGCCCCAGTCTGAGCCTCGGCCTCGCCTGAAAACTGTTCCGCCATTTTCAGTCTCTCCAATAGACCATTAGTTGTGCCGTTTGTGTGTTCTTTTTGGATGTTATTTGTGCAATTGTTGGACAAAATGACTTGCTGTAATATTAATTTCACTAATAGAGCGTCCAAGGAGTCTCCACTTCATTTTTTTTGGTAAAATTATATTTATGTATTTTAGGTCACTGCTGCTCTTGCACTAGCTAAGCTTGGATTTTAACATGTACTGTTTAACCATGAAATTTAGATGTAACAGGATAAAACCCAGTGCATTTAACATAACGCTGCATTTTTGAAAATGGGTTGAAATGTGACATGTTGGTGGAGCTGGGATCTGACTATCGGTATGGTCCCCTCCCCTCAGCGGCTGCTCGGCGCATCTCTGACCGCAGCGGTGCCTGTCTGGTGCATGGTGGCTGCTGTGGAGCTCTCGGGAGACCTCTGTGTTCCACCCGGTTTTACCCAGCGGTCAACCCGGCATATCTGTCACTCAGAAGCTCCAGTGTTGTGCACAGTTAACTCCGGTTGTAGCTAGGAAGCAACCTCTGTTAGCTAAGCTCCCACCTCTGCGTTAGCTTTGGGTTAGCTTGTAGCTACATCGCTTCAGTTCGACAGGTGTCGTCATTTGATCCCAGCCTTACAGCCCCGATCTCAGCTCCACCTCTTTTCCCATTTTTGGAATATTCTAGGTTTGACGGAACCTATGACACGGTCAAAATGGCGGTGGTGGCCACCTTCCATTTTGGCTCAAAAACTTATAATTGGAGTCAATGGAAACACATTGTCCAGTATATATGTCGATGGTTCAGGTGCACCGTGTGTGTATGAAGAAGAGGAAGGGACGGGTGCAGTGGGGGAATTCACCTCTGGGTCTTTCCCAAATGAAATGAGCGGGTAGGGGCGGAATCAGCTGTATTAAGATGGCTAAAGTCAATGATGTTCTTCCATTTAACGCACATTTCATTCATAATATCATAAACACAGGCCTATCATTCTTTCACATTTTTCTGAATTGTGTGAAATGGCCAAATAAAAAAAGGAAAAACAAAACGATTTTGTGGTCACCCACCCACCAAGGTCAATTTGCTTAGTCCTGACCAAAGGCAACTTATTGAGTCAAGTCCCAAATAGAAGAGATGAATATAAAAAGGCTAAAACCACCAGGTGCCTGATTCAGGGAAAAAAGAAATAAAGAGGAGAAAGATAAAGGTATGTAGCTCTCATGATGCATGTTTTCAATTTTTTTAACCAGTTAACTGGGATTTTAACAGTTAAATTTGGTCAACTAATTGCTAACAGAGCTAATAGGGCTGAAATATTGAAACGAATATTCAAATGGTTCGAATAAATTCCTTGAATAATTTTTTACTGATTCAAACTAGGATTTGTTAAATGCTCGCTGCAGCCCGTGGCCTGCCTGAACAACAACCAACACATGTTGATCATGTTCACATAATAATAAATAAAACAACTGTACAAGCAGAAGAAAACTCCCCAGTCACCACTAACTATCCTGTTTATTTATTGCAGATGGCTGCACTGATTATTTTTTACATGATTTGTTCTGTAAAAGTTGGCATTTTTGGTAGTCTACAGTTTTTAATGTCCGTTTAAATTACAATTTCAGAGGCAATTCTAAAATATTATGGATCATGAGATCTATTGGAGATCTACCCCAACTTTTGGACTGCTCTGCCAGTCACTGTGGCTCAAGCTGAGAGGAGCTTTTCAAAACTTGATCAAGTCATGCCTGAGGTCACCTATGTTTCAGGGGCGGCTCACTAACCTGGCTGTGATTAGTATCAATCACTCAGTAGGGGAGCAGATTTCATGTGATGACATTATTGATGACGTTGCATCAAGGTTAGGTTTTAATTTTAGTTAGTGTTTTCTGTTCTAAGTGTAGTGCTGTAGTGATTATCTTTAGTTTGTTATATGTGAAAGAGTTTTGCTATTTAGAATATTTATTATATATTATGTTCATATATTCTTAATATTTAGTTATTGTTTGTTTTTGTATATTTGATTCTATATATTTTGATACAGTATATAATGTATATTGCCTTGCCTGGGAGTAATTCCATGTAGAACCGCCACTGGATGTGCTGGTAGGATTGTGGAGGCCTTCAAAGTACTCCATCCATCGATTCACTACATCCCGAGTCGAGGTCAGCATCCATCCCTGCTTTATCCTGCTGCGGCACTGGTTGGTGGACCAGAATTTCCACAAAGCCATAGAGAAGTTTTGACCTAGAGTCTCATCTGGTTTTTTGCCTCCTGAACCAGTTCCTCTGTGACCACTTGAGGCACATTCCACTTAGACTGTTAAAAGGGAGTTTTCCTCTCCACTGTTGCTAAATGCTTGCTTAGTATGAGGATTGCTGTAAAGACTCTGACACTAGTCGGTGACTTGATGCAATTTGCTGGGTTTCTTTTATAAGACATTTTTTACTGATTGGCTTAATGAACTGACCTGTATTGGGATGTTTATTATGTGAAGTGCCTTGAGATGACTCTTGTCGTGCCTTGTCGTGATTTGGCGCTATATAAATAAACTTTAATTGAATTTAATTCAATGTGTCCCACAGGCAAAGAATACCCAATAGGATTTTTTCTTCATCTTGACAGCTTCCTTAACCGCTGATGTCCACCAGCGGGTTCAGGGGTTTCTGCCACAACAGGCACCATTTACTCTTTGGCCTGGTGTCCTCTGGCTGGCTCCCCTTCTTACCTGGGCATGGGTCTGTTGACTGGGCTGGCTGACTGCTGTCCATCCTTTGGTGGCTATCGGCTGCGGGAGCAAGCACGGCCACAGACTCTGGCGCTGGTGGGACCTGGACTATTGTGGGGCTGCCCCTCCCTCACCACTTACACATCATTAGAAAGCAAAAACAAAACTCTTGGTGACAAATCCACGTACAAACACCCACAAACACAGCGATCCACACAAACACAGCTTAGACCCACAAACACCATACAAACAGAATATGTTCTGTTTTTATTTCATTTATTCTTGTAGATTTTTTTCTTTCTTTTTCATGACAATCTCACTGTTACGTCCTGCTTTTGTACTTGTTGAAAAAAAATCGGCATCCTAAAGATTGACAAAGTCAATGGTAGGCGATCTTCCAGAGAAGCCATTGAAAAAAATACAGCAATATGACAGCATCATTGGTGTACATGACATAATATAATTGAAGAAACCTGTTCAGGTTTAGTGAAACATCTCTAATCTCAACATGTATTAATTCCTTCTTACAATCCTAGGGGCTTAGACCTCCTCGTCTTTCAATGCTAGTGACGTCCCTGAGTCCATGAATGCTAATTTTTCAATGTGATATGCAATTGACTGGCTTTTCTAATCCAAGGAGTTCACCTGTCCATTTTCTATTGAAGGCTAATGCAGAAAAACATTGGTAGAAGACAATTTTCATGTTGTGCCGACATGATAAAATCTGAGTGACAATTATATTTCTAAAATAACAAGTAAAAACTGTCTGTCAGTGAAATTGACGTTTGGAGGCTCACTTCAATAGATCTGAACTACTTTAACTTATGCAATTTCTAAAACAAGTCTTAGGTGAATTGTTCATATAAATGTTTGAATGTACATAATTATGTTCTACAAATAAGTTTGGATCACTTCCTCTCTATCAGTGTTAATCTGACAGTTGTGTCCATTTCGAATGACTGAAGGTACATGTGGATGGTTCTCTGTTGGTTGGATCAACCTGTCGTATGCCTGTGCACTGACCATTGGTACTGGTACCCAAGTGGTTTCATTAAACAGAGTGTAGTCAACCGTAAAGCGCTTCTTGCCCGCTTTGAGCATGTCCTGGAAACGCTGGCCCCAGTGGATATCTGCTGGTGTATAGCAAGTTCGAGTCTGGTGGAGCATGCCAGTAGAGTCCCCAGTGAAGGTGAAAGAGACCACCAGTTCAAAGTTGTCCTCCATTAAGTCATCAGGGCCCAGTCTGTAGAAGGGACTACTGGAATCCAGTTTATGGGTTATGGTGATTGGTGTGGCAAGAACAATGTCTTGGTTGAGGATGTTTATATCTTGGTATGACATCATAATCGAGGGAAATGGCTGCCTCACACAGCGGACCAGCTGGGCTCTAGCAATCCCCTCCAGAATGTGGTTATTCCTAAAGTCCCCAAGGCGCCATGACAGGCAGAGAACCCCATTTTGCAAGTTGACCACTGCACAGCTGCTGAAACCCACTGTCTGGGCTCTCTTACGTGCTGACGCCATCTTTGCCACAACAATGCCAATAATAATGGTGTCAATAAAACAGCTGAACACATCTTGAATTGTCACTACAACAATAGCCACCATGCAGTTCTCTGTCATTCCCCTGAAGCCGTAACCAATAGTTGCTTGGGTCTCCATTGAGAATAGAAAACTTCCAGTGAAGCTGCGTACATTTTCCACACAGGGCCTGTCATTTTTCTCGCTAATGTCTCCATTCACATGAGCAATTAGCCAATAAAGAAGCCCAAAAAGTATCCAGGAGATGATGTATGAAAAAGAAAATGCAAGGAGCATTATCCTCCAGCGAACCTCCACTAAAGTGGTGAAGATATCTATTAAAAATATGCTCCAGTCTCCGGGGGCCTTCCAGAATGCCATGGGGAACCTTCCATTTTTCTGCATGTAGCGAAGCCCTCGCACGTCTTTTTCATTATTCCTGCACAGCGTGTGAACTGTGGTGTGGAAGGTATCAATGACCTGTTCTCTTTCAGAGCCCATATTGATGCGGATAGCTTTCTAGTCCTATTGAAAAGACAGAGATAAGATGGAGATTAAAATGAAAGTTGGTGCTTGTGTCTGTCCTCAGTCATTTACATGCAGAAACTAATCATAAACCATATTTGGTCACACCATGTCCTCATCTCATGAGAGGAATCTCTGCATTTCTCCCAAAAGACAAAAAGTTTATTGACAACAAGATCAAAGCACTGGCTGCCGTACTGCTAGAGAATCAAACACAATGAATCGGAATCTGAATATTTTATTAATCAGAAAGGAAATTATATAGCAGAGTAGTTGCTCTAGACAATCATAACAGTCATATCAACATTAAATAATCAGATAAAAACAGTTAAAACAGTGTAAGTACATTTGATAAATGAGGCACTTGGGCCTCTCTAATAATTCAAGCAAGGACTGATGAGTGAGGCTCAAGCATGTTCGCAAGCAGCCCCTGTTAATTTAACAGGCAAGTCATTCACAGACATGCAACAGCCGTCATCTGAGCCAGCCCAGCAGGCCCTGTAGATGGACGATGGAGTGGACAGTGAGAGGAAGCATCCCAAAGCTCTCTGCAGACCGTCCTGTATGATGTTCCTCTGGCCAGAAATGTCCAGCCACGGGTCTGCTCCAGCCCTCCATCCACGTCTGGATCCTCCTGCAGCAGATCCAGCTGCACTGTTAAAGACTTCCTGCTCACTCAGTTTAAATAAATGATCCAGGAAGAGTCACTCAGGTTAATCCTGCTTTAACCGTACATAACTGGTCCATACTGGTTCTGATCTGTAAATAAGTGTAACCTATTATAAATAATCTTGTCTCCTTACCATCTTTTCATTTTCTGTTCATGTAACATGTTCAAAAGCATCTGTAATAATAAAACTGGTGATAAAACCAATGACCAGAAAGAGTTATCAGTTAGTATTTGTTTTAATAAATGTGTTCAAATATAAAACAGCTAAATAACATTAACATGATGACAGTAGAAGGCCTCTCTCCCAGGATGACAACCAGGTAAAGCCTCTCCTGACCCTGGACACCTGCAATCCTACAGAGAAAATCAGACCACAGGTGACAAAAGGCAATAAACACATTTTTACATTTATCCACATGAGAAGATAAAAATTATATTCTTCACACAAACTTTTTACTTCATTATAACGTGTCAGCTGTGTAAATCCCCGAATGTAAAACTACTTTTCACAGAACTTCTGTGGTTGTGTGTAAACAGCTTCACTCTTCACCTCTAAGCTTAATAAAAACGCTTCTTTGCTCCGTTGTCCTTAAAACAAATGACAAGTTTAATTCGACACACACACACACACACACACACACACACACACACACACACACACATAACTGGGACCCGCGATACAAACTCGTTCTGGCTGATTTCTGCCTAAAATGTAATTTAAAGAACAAATATACAAACGAAAAATGTCTATAAACTGAACCGCTTTAAGCTTTTTAGATTTCTACGGCTAGTTTTTAACAAACTTACGTTTAAATCTTCATAGCTCTCCCCATTTTCTCTGCCTGTTGAAAATCCACAGCCGGCGCGCAAAGCATGCTGGTATAGCCTTGTTCTGTGAGGAGACAACGAAGTGGTTAGCTAACGCTTCACAATGCAACAAAATGATGACATTTCATCAACTTACCGGAGAAAATCCTTCTGAAACACCGAAAATGAACTGCAGTCAATGCAGCAGCGGGGCTGTTTGGAACTATTCAAAACTACATGAACCACGTGACTTCCCCATTCCATAGGAGTCTATTGGAGTGTCTTAACTCTCTACAGCTCTGACAAAGCCCTGCCCTCCTCTCACAATGATTGGACAGGAATTCGAGAAACGTGATTGGTAGCCAAGACTCGTGCTCTCATTGGTTCCACCCAAGTTCCTCCCACTGACGCTAGAATCGAGACAAAAAGATTTGTAACACTGTAGGATTTGAGGTTTGTACCTGTAGAATGAAATGTGTGTTTTGAGAGTTTTGATTTCAAACTTGTGCCTTGATTTTTTCAATTTGGAAGTCTGCTAGTTACAAAACGAAAGTTTCATGTTTCTGAATGAATGTTTGATGTTACAAAATGAGCAGTAAATGTACAAAATAAAAGTTTGATTTTACAAAATAAAAAATACATGTACAAAATACAATGTTCCTGTTACAAAACAAGAAATACAGGTACAAATTGAGAATTACAAGTTAGAAAATTAAAGTTACAAGTTACGAATCCAAAGTTACATGTGATGAAACATGTTCGAAGTTACAAAACTTGGTACAAGTTACGCTGAATATTGTACAAGTTACACTGAATATTGTCCCAATCCTAGTTCCATACTTTGCTTTCCCCAGGATGGCAACAACCCATGCCAATTTCCCCCGAACATAAGTAATGTGTGGCTTCCAACAGAGCTTATGGTCAATGATCAAACCAAGAAATTTAATTTCATTTACTCTTTCTAAATATACATTATCCACACAAATTTCTATTTTGATGTTTTTCTTTTGGTTACCAAATAACATAACTCTGGTTTTATCTAGATTCAATGATAATTTATTTATATCAAACCACTTTTTTAATATTGTTAATTCCTGTGTGATCAACTTCAAGACCTGTGGCAATTCCACCCCTGAACACAGTATATTTGTGTCATCTGGAAATATTACAAACTTTAAAATTTTTGATACTCTGAGATATCATTTAAGTACATAATAAACAATTTTGGTCCCAGTACTGAACCTTGAGGTACTCCACAAGCTATATCCATCAAATCAGATTTGTATTCATTTATTTGTACGTCTTGTTTCCTATTCCCTTCATAGCTTTTTAACCAGTCCCCAACGATTCCCCTAAACCCGTACCTTTCCATTTTTTTAAATAGAATTTCATAATTTACAGTATCGAACGCCTTTTTTTAGGTCTAAAAAAACTCTGAGTGCAAACCTCTAATTATCCATACAGCCCGTTATCTTTTCCATTAAATATATCAATGCCAAAGCTGTTGATCTGTTGCTTCTAAACCCAAATAGGCTATCTGTCAGTAATTCATATTTTTCCACAAAACTGTCAAATCTTTTTATGAACAGTCTTTCCAGTATCTTAGAGAACTAGGAGAGTATTGACACTGGTCTATAGTTTGTAAAATGGTGCCTTTCACTGGTTTTGTAAATGGTAATAACTTTAGCAACTTTCATATCTTGTGGAAAAAACCCTTTTTGAAATGACAAATTGAATATATATGTTAATGGTTTTACAATACCATCAATAACTGTTTTTACTGTTGCCAAATAAATATCATTCCAATCTGTGCTGGTTTTGTTCTTAAGTCCTCTAACTATTTCATAGATCTCTTTCTCTTCCACTGCTCTCAAAACCATTGAGCTTCTATTCCTTTCAATATTTTCACCAGTGTCCCTTTCTATTCCATCAACCTTTATTAATTCTGCCAGTTTTGGCCCTATGTTTACAAAGAATTCATTAAAACCATTTACTATCTCCTTCCTATTATTAATGCTTCTTGTCCCTTCCATAAAGTACCCAGGGTAATCATTATTCCTTGAGTCATTTTTGATTATGCTGTTTAATACCTTCCATATATCTCTTGTGTTATCTTTATTATGTTGTAACCTCTTAATGAAATACCCTCTTTTACATGATCTCATTAAATTTGTTAATTTATTTTTGCAATTTTTATACTTCCTTTCAGTTTCTATTGTTCTCCTTTTTATGAATTCTCGATATAGGGTATTCTTTTTTTTGCTGGCATTTTGCAGTCCTTTAGTCATCCATGGTCTTCCTGCATAGTTGTGTTTCCTGTTGATTTCAATTACTGGGCAGTTTTTATCAAGTAAAGTATTAAATGTTCTTAAAAATAATTCATGTGCTTCGTTAACTTCTGTTTGTTCATATACCATATTCCAATCTTGTTTTAAGAGTTCATTCCTAAGACAGTTTAATGTCCTCTCTGTTCTTATTCTTTTGTACATGATCTTGTGCCCATCATTGTTCACTTTATGGTGACTATTATAAGACGCAAAGACTGGTGAATGGTCAGTTACATCGCTGATTAACTTTTTATATTTTCTTCTATTATATTTGTAAATATATTATCTATTAGAGTTGCACAATGAGATGTTATTCTGGTCGGTCTTGTTATCAGTGGAAATAAACCCATGCTGTATATGGAATCAATAAATTCTTCTGAACTCTTATTATGATTTGGATTCAATAGGTCAACATTAAAATCCCCACAAATAAACATTCTTTTCTGATTTATATTTGTAAATAATTCCTCCATATAATCCTTAAATATCTCAATCTTGGATCCTGGTGTTCTGTATATAAAACTGGCAATTAAGTTTTTCCCTTTTTGCTATACTTATTTCCACTGTTAAACATTCCTCCATCACTCCATCAACAACCGTCGTCATTCTTCCCATTCTTTCATATTTTAGGTTTTTATTAATGTAAAGTGCCCCCCCCCCCCCCCCCCCCCCTTTCTTGTTGATCCTGTCTACATGAAGAAAATCCTATCCATTTATTTTAAAGTCTTCTTCTTTTCCAGGAGTTATCCAGGTCTCTGATATGGCTATTACCTTGAGTGGCTGTTCAAACTGAGTTATGTAGTCTTTTATGGCTTGAAAAGTTTGCGTATAAGCTTCGACTATTAAAGTGAACCAATGTTATACCCTTTTCTACCTTGATTGTCTTTTTAAGTTGCTCATTTGAATAATAATTGCATTCATTTGTCTTACTGTTAAAGAAATTACAATCAGAATCTATATTGCTGTCATACCCAATGTCTTGTCGGTTTTTAACTGTCAGCCATCTGAGTTGGTTGTGCATCTTAGATCTTCCCCTCATATTGCGCTCTAATTTGCACACTGATTTATCAGTTATACTTTTCTAGTTCCATCATCTCTTTGATGACTAGAACCTGAGCCTGCTTTGGTGTTCCATTCAACTTAATGAATATATTACAGTCTGACGTCCAAGTTGCCTGTATTTTCTTCTGTTTTCTCAAAACTCTTGCTTGTCTTGCTATGTCTGCATTTTTCTTGATTAGGTGTTCATTTAAATATAAATTTGTACCTCTTAACTTTCTTCCTTGTTTGAGCAGTTCTTTTTTCTGTTTTCTATTAACAAAACAAATGATAATGGCAGTTAATTGCTTTTTGTCTTTCATTGGAAGAGGATGACATCCCTCAATATTATTACTGTCCATTTCAATACCCTTGCTGTTGAAGAAAGTCATTACCTGCTCTTCCAAGTTGCATAGTTCTTGCTCAGGTGGCTCTCCTTTTTCTGAAGCTGCCACCCATGCATATGTTTGATGCTTGGTTTCCAGTCCTGTCACTATCACATCATTTACTCTTGTACATTGTTCCAGATCTAACACTCGTCCTTCCAGCATAGCGATCTTCTTGTCCTCGCTCAGCCTTCTTAGTACTTTAATATCATCGATTAAATTATCAGTTTTTGTTGTTTTGAAATTGTTGTTATTTCTTCTGACATAAAGTTTAGTGATTTCTTTATGTCTTCTAGTTCCTCCTCATTAATGTTGCTCCTCTTAGGTGGCATCTTAGCGTTAAGGGCCGCTGGTTGTGAAGCTGGTGTGGTCTGTCAGCTAGCCTCGTTAGCCGGTGGTGGAGCCTGTTTGCTGGGTCCAGAGGTGGTGGAGCCTAGTGGCTGGGTCCCGAGGCTGGTGGTGGAGCCCGTTGGCAGGGTCCAGAGGCTGGTGGTGGAGCCTGGTGGCTGGGTCCAGAGTCTGTTGGTGGAGCCCCAGTAGAGCCTGGTCTGGTAGCTAAAGCAGAACCTGTCACTGGAACAGAGCCTGGTCTGGTAGCTGGTGCAGATGATTATTAAATCATCAAGCAGATTCGCTTGGTCATTTGTTAATATACAAATATTTTTACGTGACATTACTGATAACAGTAATGTCACGTAAAAATATTTGTATATTAACAAATGACTGTCAATTATATTTACGTCACATATTACGTGAAATAAGCCTTTTCAAGTTTCTTAGAAAAGGGGTAACATCTGAGGACTTTTGTTAATGCCTACGACATTTTCTAACTTCTGAATGGTCCAACATGGGCCCTAAAACAATGGTCACAGGTTTCATGCTAAATTTATCTCCCGTTAGGGAACCAAACCAGGTCTATCAACAAAATATTTGACCAAAGAGCCATTCTTTTCAAGGTCAAACAACCATTATTTGTTTTAACCTGCAAAACTGCATCAAATGAAAAACAAAGCGCCAGCTTTCAGCAGTCACCCAGGGGAGTATCTCTTGACCAGCTGATGCAGTCCTACGGCCTTTGACATCCACAAATAAAAACAACTGACATTACGAGAAGACTTTGTGGCCAGCCGGATCACAGAGAACCCTCATCACATGGGTACCATAGCTCTTCACTGGCGTTGGACGGGAAATGATTAATTTAATAACTAATCAAACATAACTAAATTCAGCCAGATAATTTTATAATTCCAGACATTAAATTATTTTCTAAGACACTTAATTAGACTTTTAAAAACATCATAGATCTTCCTTCACCAGAGTTTGGTGATTGTCTCAGTTGATATTACCTTAAAGGCCCAGTGTGTGATTTTTTTTTACCTGTTTACTATCAAATCCTGTTTCCTGTTAACAAACTTGTCCTTTTTCACTAATAATTCTCACCAACATCAATTCAAAATATTCCTCTCAATTTGAAATTATACATTTTATATACATAAACTGTGGTTGACGCTCCATGGTCATTCACCATCTTAAAATACAGTAGCTGTTTAGGGACATATGAGGTCCACGTTGGACTATGACTGTAATCTAAAAGAACCAGCAGAGGGCAGCAGGGCGCCCTGGAAGCATGGACTCTGCTAATTGAACTAAGAAATAGAAAAGAATAGCTGCACCGTTGCTGTACTTGTTAGTTTAAATAAAAAACAATTAAATCAAATGACACATAAAATTTGTCAGTTCCTCATCATGTCTTTCAGATGTGACCCAGTAAAGAAGTAAAAAATGAACGTAGATTTATATTTTTTGTTAAAACACAACATGTCAGAATAGTACAAAGTCTCACAGAGGTTTACCTAATTTGCTTTGTGATGCAAAGTCCTACAGCTCATGTCTCTCTCAATAAGCTAAATGTTGACCTTATTGTGTAGAAGTTATTAATCCTCATGAGAGTAAATTATTACCTCCAAATGGTACCTAAAATGTCACACTTTAACCATACTGCCCTTGGTTTTCAATCCACGGAGGACAACAGCCAGAACATTTGTCAAACTGTAATCTGACAGCTGCTTGACAAAAGCAGGCCTATTGTCTATATGCAAGCAAAAAAAAAATTCCTGATCGATCTTTGATCAGGAATGTGTTTCCTTTCAGTCAGACAGACTTATTATACTGTAGCTTAATGATGAGAATGTGTGGCTAATGTTTATCTCAGTTTATGGTGGATGGTTATTCAGAATGTCTGATTTCACACCTACTGTGGTCTAATTATGTAACCCAACAATTGTAAAGAGAATGCTGCCTTTGTTGGCATGTAATGAAACCAATAGTGCATGTAAATACAAATGAGGAATTTTTGAAGTTCAAGTTAGCTACTGTCAACAGAAGAGTCAGTAAAAAGCATTCTTATTTGAAATATCTTGCATGTTGGTTCAAATATCAAATACATTTTTGTTTTCTGTTTACTTCACTCATTCCTTTTACATTGCACATTGTACCACAGCATTGTTATAAATTAGAAGACTATGAATAGAAGTAAAACTAATTTAAAAGAAACAGATTGTTTAAATCAGCTTTCATTAAAAGCTAAACAACCAATGTTCTTCGAATGGAGGGCAGAGCCTGTTCTCTGTGAGTGGTCTAGGACAGTCCGGTCTCAGAAAAAGGTCAGTGGAAAAAACCTGACCAGTTTTTAATTACTCATTTTGTGAGACTTTCATGCTTGACGTGCATAAAAAAACACAGTAATCCTAGCTTCATATAAAGTGTCCCCCCATTTATTTTGCTTTTAAAAACATTTCTTATCTTTTCATAAATTTGTTGCATAAAGTTCATCCAACAGAGAATCAAGTAGTCTAAAAACAGCAGAAACCACAAGGATATTTCACCAAAAAGGTGATCATTTACTTATTATATTCTAAAGAAAATCTGAAATTATTGTTTTATTTGTTATATTACTCAAATAAACTTCATTTTTTTAAATTAGAACAAATGTAAGAATTATCAGCTTACTTTAAAACTAGTCCACTAGTTCCTCTGAGCATTAACCGATGTGCAGTCCTGGTTGAAGTAACCTTCAAATGGTTGAGGAACATGAGATTGTTAGGGGCTGGCCTGGGCTAGAAGCAAAGTCCCATTCCCTCCCGTCATCACACCAACAATTTCCTTCTAAATTCTCATTGGACAATCTAGATTTATGACTTACGGAATATTTTAGAGGCTCCCCAAGACAGCTAAATATTTGTTCCAGGTCAATGAAATAACATTGGTATAGTTAAGATAGTTTCACATAAGAAAACAAGTCAAAATATTGATCAGAAGATTGTTCAGCAGGCTATTTTTAGATAAATCTATTTCAGTTTTTTGAATTTCCATCAAACTTCAATGATTAAATAGACAGGATGATAACTTTTGTTCAATCAGCTGTAGCTGTTTACTTTGATAAAGAATTTTCTTTGTCTGGAAAGTTCATAATATAGTCCTGATAAAACAAGGTCATGTTTAAGGTGCAGGGACATTCATAGCAGCATCAAAAGGTCAACAGTACCAACAAGTATATTGTTTTGATTTTAAAAATAGAGAACGATGATCTGTAATAGAGGAGATTAATGCTGTTTTGGTTTAATGAGATTCTATTTTTAAGACAGAGATGATAGGCTTTCCACTGAGGAAAAAATGTAGAGAAAAAGTTGAGACCAGGGGCCTCATTCATTACTTTTTGCATACAAACCCTTACTAAAACTATACTTAAGCTCAAACTTACTAATGCAATTTACTAGTGTAAAGAAATGTTATGACCAATAAAACACTGCACTGCACAGCTGCACACAACTCCTGCTTTATGAATCACACTCATCCTTTGTTCAGGTGTTTTTGGACCATAACCCTTCTACATGCACATTTTCTGCCATAAATGGTCAATGCAAAGTGCCTTATGAATATACTGAAGTCAGGTGATTGGTGGCATTTCACAGGGAACAATAGCAACAGTCTGAAATTGGGGCGCTTGTGAGTGAGGCTGAGGAACGAAAAAATGTTTTATTGCCCTTTCAGACTTCCATGATTAACCTTCAATTTTTATTCTCATGTTCTAATTTTAGATTTGTTCCCATATTTCTCATTATGATCTTTCTTCAAAATGTTTTTAATTATTGTTGTTCTTTTGAAGGCCTATGTAACAATGGAGCAATTGTAGAGGCCATAAAAACGGGGGAAAACATATATATAGAAAAGGGTTTGATTTGAATTTGGAGGCAAAGAGAAAGATAGCCATTATTTTTGAGGCCATCCAAAACACTGCATTATGGTACTCAGTTATCATATTATTGAGGCCATCCAAAACAACTGCATTATGGTACTCAGTTATCACTGAGACATTCCTGATCTAAGGGTAAATTAAATGAAAACATTTTATTTAACTATTGGGCATTCTAGGAACATATTAACCATATATTTATCATCATCTAAAACAAATATCAGCCTGTCTGTCAGCAAATTCATGCCTGAAAAGTGTAAGAAAATTGAACATAAGATCAGTCTTTATGCAGATGATGTTTTCCTCTCTCTCCATGCAATAGAATTGATAAACTCTTTTTCAAGAGTTTCAGATTACTCAATAAACTGGTTAAAATCCACAGTTCTACCAATTAATTTCTCTTTTGTCAATTTGCTTAATACACAATTGGAGTCAGGGAATATCAGATACCTGGGAATTAATATCTCTTCCAAGTTGTCAGATCTAACCAAACTAAACTACATCTCACTTTTAAAGAAAGTGAAAGAGGATCTTGCAAGATGGAAATCCTTACCGATATCACTCATGGGGAGGGTTGCTACAATTAAAATGATGGTCTTACCCAGAATAAATGACTTATTTTCAATGAACCCAAACAATCCACCAGCTGACTGGTTTAGATATCTGGACTCCTCAATCACTAAATTCCTTTGGCAGGATAAACCCCCACAAATTAGCTTTAAAACACTTCAGAAGACCAAAGGTAGAGGAGGATTGGATCTACCCAACTTTTATCATTATTTCTTAGCGAACAGGCTGCAATATATACCAAGATGGTTGCAAGATAACCCACTAGATGAGTCCTGGTTAGATATAGAACAGATACTTCACAATACGATAGAGCTTTCAGACCTTCCACTTATTAGCTCAAGCATAAGAAAACATGAAGGCTTCAAAAGTATTAGTATCAGCACCTCTCTGACAGCATGGTGGGAGTATCTAACAATGACAGAGTCTTCACTAGTACCATGCAGACGCACACCTATCTGGAATAATCCTGATATTTTGCAAAATAACAAAATGATGAACCTTCTCGACTGGGAAAGTAAAGGAATCCTATACCTGGAACACATATATGAAGGATTGGACTTAATCCCATTTAACAGAATAGTCTCCCAATTTGGAATAAATAAGAATAACTTTTTAGAATATCACCAAATTAAATCTGTAGTTAAACAAAAATTTAAGCTCAACAAAGTAGAATTAAAAACACCACCAAGGGTATTAGACTTCTATAATCTCAAACCCCCCAAACTACTGTCTAAAGTATATAAGACACTGTCCAAAATAGACGATAGAATAGTAATCCCTATTGAAAAATGGGAGGTAGATCTATCAGTCAGCTTTGACCAGAACTTCTGGTCCCAAACTTGTTTAAAAATTTTTAAAATGATCACACACCCCAATTTACAATTAATTCAGTACAAAATTCTACACAGAGTACACTATACAGGTCATCGGATGTTCAAGATGGGGTTTGTGTCATCTCCTGTACACACTGCACAAACAACATTCCTGACAATTACATCCACACACTGTGGTCCTGTCCACCTGTCCAGGAATTTTGGGGTAGAGTATGTGAAGACCTGTCAAAGTGTCTGAAATATCATATCCCAAATTCCCCCTCACTTTGTTTGCTGGGAAACCTGGACGATGTCCCGATTGAAACATCTTTGGTTCACGTGGTTCTGACTGCCATATGCATCGCTAAGAAAACTATCCTCATTAATTGGAAAAATACAGATACTCTTTGCAATAACCAGTATAGAAATATTTTGTTAGTTCATAATGCACTTGATATAGCCTCTGCTTCCACTTCAAGCCTATCTCTTTGGGCTCCTTTGATCGGTTCCATCACATAGCGATGATGGGGGGGTCATTGATCTTGCCCTGCGGGATGATGTGGGTGATGGGGTGGAGGGTCTGAGTTTGGAGTTTCCGGACGTTCCCTGAGGGTGGGTTCACTGGGGGGTGTCTGGGGCTGGGGGCTGCTGCCCCCCTCTGGATGTGCTTGGGTTGCCTCGGGGGTGGACTACTAGTGGTTGTGCGTAGGGCCCCTTGGAGGTCTTGGTGGTGGCCATGGGTTTCATTGGTTTATTTTATTTATAATTGTTATATATATATATATATATATATATATATATATATATATATATATATATATATATATATATATATATATAATCCTCACTCTCAGGCTTTTCCACAAGCCCCATGCAGAACTGAATGGCAATGAACGCTTTCATTTCTGGGACAGTTACATCGTACCAGTCATTATATCTGCAGCTAGATTTCAGTTCCTCCCTCTCTAAATACTGGTGAGCATATCGGTTAGTTTCAGTTGTGATGAGGGTCCAGAATTCCTCATCCAAAAACTGGCTCATCAAAATGCCTGATCCACTTGGAATACTGTTCCTCTTCTCCCAAACTAACCCTGCCATCATCATTATTATTGTCACTGAGGCTGTGTTGGGCCACCCCCCTGCTAGCAGTGATTTTTTTCCCGCGGTTCCTTCCCCTCCTGCTGCAATTCCCACAGTTTACACCCCCGGGGCTGAATTGATTACCAGTGGAGTTTTCACTGGCCCATCACGGTGGAGCGAAGGATCAGACCCGGTAAGGGCTGGATGGGCTGCTTGTGTAACCGCGTCGCCAGACTCCCTGTTGCTGCGCGCTGAAGCCACGCATTCCGTCTCGCTAGAAGACCGCAGATCAACCTCGGAAAATAAATATTCTTCCTCCGAATCCAAATCTGCCAGTACTACACGAAGAGCTTTGTCAGCACTGAACATTCCTCTCAGCATTGTGTTTTTTCCCCTCTACCACTCGCTCGCTCTCACTCGCTCTCACTCGCTCTGACAACCCCCGCGGCTCTAAGACTGGTGGGCGGGGTACAAGATCTAAATACTCCATAAATTTGAATAGTAACACACCACAAATGCTGCTTGGATTGAAGTTACAGGTGTCTGCCACCCCACAGTGTATCGTATTAACTGCATGAGGGCTCATTTCTGCTGCTGTGGCTTATTAAATCCAACATTGATGCTTGTCGCAATTCTGCGACTTTGGCGCTTAAAGGGTTAAAAGTCACGCCCTGCGCCGTGGACATCAGTCCTTACTTTCCAGGCCAAATGACCTTGTCATCTGTGGTGTTCCTTGAAATCTTGGTGGGTGGCATGTTCGTAAGTCATCCAGTGTTTGTGTCTGACATCGATAATTTTCCTTTCCTGTTGGGGAAGGACCGGCCTCATCGCTTTCAGCCTGTCATTTCATTCGGTGAATGGAGGCTCTGGACCTGGTTGACTCAACCACGGCCCTCTGTGCACCATGAGGACCTCATTCCCTCCTTGGGTGTTGTTAACTACAACGGCGCCGCCAGAGTGACCGGTCGCTCTAGTATCTCTAAGGTCAGTGACAGCCACATAGTCTGCATCATCTCTGCAGCAGAATCACTTCACCCTGCTGTGGGAAAAGCACCTGAGACTATGCACCCTGCGGTGGGAACACCACCTGCCAAAGGGGGTGGGGGTGGGGGGATGACGTTGGCACTGAGAGTCCAACAGAAGCTCGGTTTACAGCAGTGGGGACATCACCTGCCGAAGGGGGGGGGGGGGGAGGGGGTGATGACATCAATGATTCTACATCACTACAGTTGGCGCTGGTGATCTCTAGCCCTGAGGTGGGTGAGTCACCTACTGGAGTGGGGGTTGAATGTCACCCTGTACCACTACTGGCTGACCCTGGTCTCTCTGACAGCACCTGCACGTCAACCGAGGGCCATCCAGAGCGCACACCTGCGCCGAAGCCTCGTAAGGCCGCGCCTGCGCTAGTCTACAGTCTAAAGAGTTCTTGGTTTCAGTTTCTGGGGCTGACAAAGTATCTTGTGCTAGTTACGTGTGTCTGTCTGATGTTAAACATGGCTAAGCTTCCTCCACAGCCTCCCCTAACGCGACTGTATGAACCTGAGCCCTCTTTGGGTATCACGCTCCGAGAGCGCCCAGGCCTATTAATGACTAACGTCCGCCTGCTCACACAACAGATTTTTGTTAAATTTGACCCTGCAATGGCATGTACTCAAAAACTGATAAATGCCTTTGGCAACCTCTCAGAAACCGGAGCCCACTGGACTA